ACACACACACACACACACACACACACACACACACACACACACACACACACACACACACACATGCACATACACTCTCCTGTCTATTGATGGGGAGCATCACCTGCTGGAAACAGGGTTCAGCGTCCCATAAACATCGTGAATAAAGCATCAACCTGGACCCCACACACACACTCTCTTCGAGTTGTGTATAACGAACATGACAAAACATACATACAGCATATTCACTACCTTACCCTTTCCGAACCACATAAACAAACGAACTACGGGTTGCGCACCCATGCCCTCATGGCAAGTCAATCTTCCGTAGGGGTAAGGACCTATGTTTTTTGTCTCATGTCAACACCGGTGCATTTCTCCTTCACGCGCAGCGAGTTTCAAGCCTTGGGAAAAAATGATGGTGACTTTTTTTTTCAGTTTTCTGGAAAGATCACAACCTAATCTACCAGATCTGACAGTTTTTTTTTTTTTTTTTAACATTATTATAAGTGTAAAAAATTGTTGCAATTTTTTTGTACATTATTCTAAGTGTGAAAAATCGCTGCTATTTAAGTACTTTTTTGTTGGTCCATGGACAACAGAGTGGCAAATATAGAAAATGCGTTGAATCAGTGCAATAATTGTTTTATTGTTTTTTTTTTTTTTCTTGAAATAGTCACGGCCTCATCCACCATACTCAAATTCTCATATTTTTTCGTATATTTTTCTTAAAGAGAAAAATCACCAAAGTTCACTTCTTGTTTTCTCTCATTGACCTCCATTTGAATTGCGACGGACCTCCGTTTTTTTCGGGCCTATTGGCATCCGGAGGTTCCGGAAATCCAATTTTTCGACGACAGGGGGAATGGTGGTTTAAGTTTGATAATGTTTGGGTGTAGATCCAAGTTGCATATCAAAACTATATATAGAAATACTATTGTTTTTTTTTTTTTTTGCTCTAGGTAACCAATGTGTTTAATTTTGTGCAGTTGCTGCTATTTTCTTTTGTCTTAGATGACAGTTGTCGAGTGCATCGGTCCCGCAGGGGGACCCGGGGGACCCTCTCGACCGCGTCACACAGGACAGGTGGCAGAAGGGTCCCCCTGCAAGACCGATGCGCTCGATATCAATGAGAAAACTATTAAAAAAATAAATTATCTTCGACATTCCAAAGTGTTCCGATGCTATAATTTTTTTAATTATTTTTTTGTTGTAATGATATTGTGACGGTTTTTTTTTTCACACGGTGTAACATTCCATATATTTTTGTAATATTTTGTTCTAGTTTTTCTAAGTTTTTGTTTTCATGTTCTGATTTTTTTTTTTTTTAAAGTCGGGCAATCAACGACTGCAACAAAAACTTATTTAATGAACTTTCATATTTTCGTTTCTTGGTATGTTTCTCTTTTATGGAGGAAGGAGAGATGGTAATGTGTGTCGGTGACTGTGTAAAAGACATTGAACATATTCACATCATCGTCGTGTATGTTTTCCTTCATTTATTTGAAGTGAGGACGTTTGTTGTTGTTCCTCCCCCCCCATTGCACTCTCATCAATAATTTTATCATGTATCTTTGTTATATTCTCCTTTAATGTATCTCTGGTGGTCGCCTCAAAAAAATTAAGAATATGGTTTCATATTTATTCAACTGTTGTTTATGCGAACGAGACGCATTCGATGTTTGTTGTTATAATTTCAACTTTGGTCTTAAGCCACCAGTCCTCCCGCCGTCGAAAACCCCTAGTCCCTGTGAGTTAGGGTCGGGTTGTACGGAGGGACAACGACCGTGCGGAGGCGCCGGGTTGTATGGAGCGGCCGACGGGTCTAATCGCGCCATTTTGCAAGCGACAACTTTCCGGTTTTTTGTGCTCAAAAAAATTCACCAAAATGTCTGAAAATTCGAGGGTTCGTAGATTAGGTCGTGATCTTTCAGGGAAAAATATCACAAAAAAAAAATCATTTTCACCATGAAATATTTGCCACGTCGATTCGTATTTTTCAAATTATTTTTTGCAAATTTGTTTTTTTAGGCCCGCCCGATTTTCCATACTGTACTACCGATACCCGTCGTGAAACAGCGCTACCGGTACCCCTGAGGTTTTATGACGTCAGGAGGACCAGTGGTTTAAGGAAGAGAAAAAACAAAGACAAAGTATATGGTGAAAAAAATTGCATGTGGTAAACATTATACAATACAAATTTAATTTTTAAGATTCAAAAACTTATTAAACGGAAATTTTCTCAGAATTAAATAATCATTCTATAGTAAAATTACATTCTAAATTTTTTAATTTTCATTCAATCCTAAAAAATATCATTCCAATTTTAAAATTTTTCATCTTACTTGTAAACTTTCATTCCAAGAATGGGGTATCCTTTCTTATTTGGACTGCATGATAAAGATAGATTGAAAGTCTGGATGAGTTCATGAAATATTTTAATTTGACTGTTATTCTAAATAAGGATTTTCAATCATAAATAGGTTAATCCAATTTAAATTAAAAAATATTTATTGTAGTAGATTGAAAATTTAATTAAAACATTGCATAAACTCGTCCAGACTTTCATTCCATCTTTAACAAGTAGATGTAGTTGGACGGGAAAACTCACATTTACACGGAAACTTGTCAAATAAAACTGGAAATCTTAGAATTTGACGAACATTGAAATGATAATTTATGAATTTGAAGATTTTTTTTTTTTAATGGAATGTTTTTTCAACTTTCACTTCTCGTGGGAATTTTTATGTTGTTGCGGCTTATATAAACCGTTTTTTTTTTTTGTCCGCTTGTTTTTGTTCCCTGTTGTCCTTCTTCACGTCATTCTCCATATCGAGGTTATTAAAATATTATAATCGGTTACTATGTGTGTGTGCGTGTGGGTGTGAGTGTGTTTTTATCCATCCTCCCATAACTACACCGTAACTTTATCAAGCTTGTATGTGAGATATATATATATATATATATATATTTTATTTTATTTTTTTGCAACGATGTGTATTGTTGGTTTATGATGAGGTGTGAATATGTAGAATATAGATCAATGTTTCACACACATTGGTTTATGTCATAGGTATCATGGAGGGCAGTGATTGGTGCAAACCTCGGAGTGTAAGTTGTCGAACTATCATTGATGGTTTATAACTTACAATATTATATGTTAGGGGAATTCATAAGGGAGAGGGGTCAAACTCCTACTATTCAGTTGTTGGATACCCTTTTACACTTCCCGTTTATGTTTCATCCAATCATTCATCCCATCTATCAAACTTATTATTCGTGGGGTTTCAACGACAACGCAATGTTTAAGCATAAGTTGCGGGGATATTCATGGATATGACTGCAACCATTAGTAGAGAAGGGAAAACAAAGAGAGTAAT